CTGTCAGCTGACACTTACAACATTAATTAAATTATGACATTAAATAAATACGAGTATAAAAATTTACGTCGTGTTGAAGTTGTCTTTAAAAAACTACTAAATGCAGAATGGGCATATAAATTTAACATACACATATATACACACACTCACACACGCATCAGCCCACACACACATACACATTAACCACAAAGATGTCAAAGATAATATAAATATATAAACTATGACATTGTGCCAAGCGAGGATCTTCTATAACTTTCAAAGACCAGGGAGACCACACCGAAGCAGCATACTCTATCTTTGACCTGACAAGGGATTTATATAAGATTAAAAAAGTGGGTTTAGGTAATTTCATAAAATATCTATTTATCAATCCTAGAGTTATATTACATTTATTAATTGTATTATAAATGTGTTTATGAAATTTCATGTCTGGTTCAAATATCATCCCCAAATCTTTAACAAATTCCACATTTTCAAGAAGTAAACCATTCATAGTATAAGATCTCTTACCACATGCTCTACGCCCATAATTCATAACAACACATTTATCCACATTCACCCCAAGCTCCAATTTCAAACACCAGCCATAAAAAACATCCAGACATGCCTGAAGGGCCTCCATATCATCATTAGAAGAGATACACTTGAACAATTTAGCGTCATCAGCATATAGATACATCCCAACATTAGAATCATTCTTACATAAATAAAAAATATCATTTACATAAATAACAAACAAAATTGGTCCCAACACACCGGTGATTTCCGTAAATTCACACAATCTTTTTTTTTCATTTTGTGTTTTTGGATTTCAAATAAATAGAACTTGAAGTTGAAGGATATTGGCGACCATCGACCTCCGCAAGAACCGATGTTTAACAGTATGTAGTAGTTGAAATGTGGTGATGTTGTTGCGGTTGCGTTTGATGATGAGAACACCGAACCAGAAGAGCAGTGAGCGGGAAAAGAAAAGAATAGTATTCGTTTGGATAGGCTGGACACGTGTTTCGTCCCTACCGGGGACTCATCAGCAGCCCGAATACCTATCAGAATTGTTATCGCAGTTTCTTATAAAGCCGCACAAATCAACTCGTGGTGTTTTATTTATTAGTCTTTTTAATCCCTAGGATTTTTAATTCGACAATATTGAACAAGTGACACAAGGACTTCACAAATTTTATTCGTTGCTGACCGCAATCTTTTCTCCCAGCAATGTTTCCAATAGTTGAAAAACAACTACAACCGAGAAATTCATGCCAACCTGAAGAAACAAACATCTTTAAACTTTCAGCCGGCAAATGTCGGCAGACAAGTCAACCAAGCAAGTTTATAGTTATCATTTTAAAATGTATATATGCAGGCACTGGAATAAAAAAAATTTGCTAAAGATTTTTTTGGCTTTTAGTTTTGGCGTTATGAAAAATTTGTTTTATTTAAACTGCTTTGTTTGACTTTTAAATATGTAGATTAAACGCTTCCAATGTGCAAACTTTTTTCATTTCTCTTCCTTTCATCCAGTCATCGCCACACACTTTCATTTATTCGTTCGTTCGTTCATTCGTTCATTCATTCATTTATTTATTCAATCCTCTATCCATCTTTTTATCTATCGTCTGTTTTTTAATATTAACTATTTTACAATTCTCCCGTGATATCTCGGAGATATTAGGCACGTTACAAGTGATGATCTTTATTGTAGTCCAACCTATTTACTGCGTGCGTAATCAAAGATAGGCCTCTTAACCATTACACTATAACTTTCTACTTTATACACAAGTAATTTTTGCTGTCAAATTGTAGCAATAAATAGCTCATCCAAAGTTGTTTTTTGCTTGCCAATGAACCATAAGTTATAATTTTTATATCATATTTTTCAATTTGTTATGTGTCATGTCAAAAGCAGAGAGTTACAGTTCACCATCAATCTGTTTATTTGTCCATTTTTTTACATAGATATTCATGTGTGCAATAAAAATTTTTAACCGAAATATGTTATTAATTTATTTATTTATATTTGGTTTTTTATTATTATTATCTTTTTTTTATTTTATAAGGTTTAATACATTATTTGACTTATAAGAACATTAACTATTTTAGATTTATTCGGTATAGACTCATAGGTTTATTTAATTTATTGTTTTAAAATTGTCTTAGTTTTGAGAAGGCACAGGGACGTTTCGTCTTCGCCTTTGTTTAACGTAATAATAATGTTAATGTGTGTATGTATGCATGTGTGTATGTGTGTTTTTGTGCATTGAATTTAATTCATTAATTTATGAAATTAGTACACAGAACCCAATGATAGAGAGCTCTAAAGTCAAAAAAAGCTGAAAATTTGCCAAAAAATTTAAATTTTTGTATTATTATTCATTATTAATAATATTAATAAAAATAAATGTTATAAAATTGAGTAGATCTAATTTTGCTGATTGTTACCACTTTTAATATTGATATGTGGGTTGCTCGCAAGTGTGAAACAAGTGAGCTTCTCTTGTCTCACACGCACACTGAGGCAGGGCACGGGGAGCACATCTTGGAGCGGCCCATTCGATTCAGTTGGCCGCTACGTTAATATAGTCGAACCAATTTTGTGCTGATAGCTACCAATTACGATGCCCGCGAAATCGCACAAATCGACTGAAGTTATGTTACATCTTCAAACGAAAGCTTTCAATGAAAATATATTAATATGAATATTATAATATTTAATATTATATATTAAATACGAATAGAACTAACAAGTTACACACACATACAACTTAATATATATATATATATATATATATATATATATATATATATATATACATATATATATATATATACATGTATATAACTTTAAAATTTTGAACAAAAACTTTTTGTTTCTGATTCTAAAACACAATTAAGTAAAATTTCGTTTTATAGTTGCCATTCAGTTTTAAGAATTTTTTGAAATGAGATAATATCAAAACAAACATTAAATTAATATAATATAATATAAGTATGGTTATTAAATTAAAAGTTTTAAAGTAGACTAAAATTGTGCATTTTTATTTAACATCATCTTTGTCTGTTTCTTGATCATTTCACAGTTAAAATTAATTAATTAAAATTCATTATAATTTTGAAAATATTTTAGAGTTGTTAGAGACATTAAGACAAAGAAAATAAAGTTTTTCATAACTTTTGATATTGATATCAGTTTAATCGTAAATAAACATAAGTAATATTATCGAGTTGTGTTAATGACAATATGAAAAATATTGTTTAAACTTGAGTGGACAATGTTACAGATTGTTGTTAGTCTTATATGCCTTGTTGCTCAAATACACTGGTTCACTACAGCAGGTTAAATATTGTTGCAACTTTTGACGTTCGTTACTACCAGCAACAAGATTTTTACGATTAAAAGATTACACATATAGCAAAGATAACAAAGATAACGCATAATCAAGATAACAAATAATATAGCGCAATTTGGCCATTGCGGCGGTTATAAAATTACCTCCACCTTTGCCTTTTAATCCCTAACATAGGCGTTACTTTTTTATTCTGATGAATATAGGATAATCTATTCAAAGGGACAAATTTCATCTTTGTCCATTTTTTTTCCATGATCATACGTCCTGTATATAACGTCATTTATCTTGTTACTGACCTTGATCCGTTATTTCCAATTTCTCGGGAGTTTCACAGGGCATCCTTTTTTTCTGCTTCCTAGGTTGTAAAACCAGACCAGGTCTCTGCTTTTGAACATGCGTTATTTCTTTTTGGATCACGACACGTTTCCGTTGTCCTGTCATGATTTTGTCTGCACTTGAAGCAAGTGCTTTCTTTCTACTGATTTTACGAGGTGAGAATGACCAGACGGACAGCTTTGATGCATGTTGTAAAATTCGTTGTTGGCATCTTTCGTGTCGACCAGTGATGCTGCGGTGAGCGACTCATCCTCATCAGCAATGAAGCCGTCGTTGATGTCATCATCCAGGTATGCAAGGATCAAGCTTTCATTCCAAGTGCGTACTGGATGGGTTTTCACAAAACTTGAAACATCATCTGTTACCAATTCGTGTCCGAAATAAATATTTGCATTTGCATTATGTCACCCTCACTGACATCGTTACCATATTAGTCCAACTGAATATTAAAAGTTTCAATGTCCTTGCTAACTTTTTGAAAATTTTCAAGATCTTTATCGTCGTCTTTGTCGTCATCTTCTTCAAAATAAAAAGCATCAAACAAGTCGCTGTCGTCACGTGCGTTGCAAATATCACGTGCTTCGCAGTCGGAATCATCCATAGGAATGATAGATTTGCAATCTTTAATGTAAATGTACGTAGTTGAATAAATATGACGTCAGGTCTTGTGTAACTATTTCTTTGTTATTTTTGATTATCACTGCATTAGTTAATGTTATTCCAATCAATTAGACCGTATTGATCGATTTTGTGGTTTTATTCATCTCGGCAAGCTGGTGTTGTTGTTGATCAAATCTTCTATTCAGTTTTTTTCCATAGAATCCGAAAGATCGATTTCATCAAGATTGATTTTTTTTAGAGTGTTCCTTAGGCGGTTTATCAAAACTATTTTCAACATCATCATCATCATTAACATCATCATCATCATCAACATCGCCACCATCATCATCATCAACATCATCATCATCTCCATCATTATCATCATCGTCTTCATCAACATCATCGCCATCAACATCGTTAACTAGCAATATCACCATGCATGAAAAAATAATCATCATCACCTGGCTGGTCTATATGGCCATGATAATGATGGTGGTGGTGGTGACGATGATGATAATGATGATGTGAAATAAGATAAAACTAATTCTGATGGTGATGATGGTAAAGATGATGATGAAGAAGACAACGATGGTAAAGATGATGATGAAGAAAAAGATGATGGAGAAGATGATGAGGAGGATAAAAGTCATGATGATGATAAAAATAAAGTGATGATGATTATTTTTCACGATCATATTGCAGCGACATCAAATTTATGAAATGACGGGCGCGTTTGAATATGTGATGAAGGTGATGGTGGTGATGATGATGATGAAGATGAATATTGATGATGATGGTGGCGATGATGATGGTAATGGTTTTATAACAAAAGTTGCTGATAAATATAACGAATGATATGTGAAGAACAAAAATTTTGCATAATATTCAGCCAAATTTTGGGTAATGATTTTATAAATTTTCTTGTATAAAATTGGTGAATACAAATATAAAAGTATAGATTCGTAATAATAATTTTATTTCTAAAAGTTTAATTTTTCTAGAAAATCAAAATATATGTGATGCCATTTTGAAAAATAAATTAAATTAGAACAACAACTCAACAACAGCAACCACAACACAACAACAACAGCAATATATCAACAACAACACATCAACATATCTAGGTAAGTAAGAAATTTAGGTTCATTTATTTTATTTTATTTAAATAAATCATATATATATATGTATATATATATATATATATACATATATATATATATGCAATATTTTTGTTTCCGGCATCTTGGCGTGTAAACAGACTTTAACGATTAACGAAGTTTTGTGCTATTTATTTAATAATTACGAGTTTTTGAACAACGATATATTTATTAACAATATGTCCGACTTCTATAGCTCGGAGAAATCTCGGCTGCCCTCAAACAGATCAAACACGACGTCAATCTCCTAAAGATTGATGTTAATTTCGATACACCACGTGGTCCTAAAAAGAAAGACAAAAAAGACAAACTACGCGAGACCATTCGCTATTTAGGGCTAGTCCGCGAAAAAAAATTATCAACAGAGCTTCCTACATACGTTAGCTCTAACTTACGGGTACCTAACAACGACTCTATTCTTAAATTTAACTTCAATGAAATGAAAAACGACATATGCAATATGCTGCACAATCAGCAACTCTATCTATGCAGCATGCTGAACGCAGCCCCTCGAGTTCATAAAAGTGAACTTAATACCAACAACACCGACGTAAACAATGTTAAAAGCTACTCGGTAGCAGCAGGACAAAAACACGCCTCGTACAGCTCGGATGCATCATCTCCCAAGATCGTTCATCCAGCTTCGTCCGTAATCAACACACCACCATCTGATGAAACCTCGAAGCAGGGAACCCAATCGCTGGTGGATCTCAACGTTGAAGCTGCTCCTGCTCATTCTTCACTTTCAACTCCTAACGATAACATCAATAAAAACAACTCTAATTCCAGTGGCCACGAAGGCTCTTGGAGCACTGTTACTTCAAAAAAAAGAGAAAATACACTCCAATTACTGTAGGTTCCAAAGAACCTGAGTCCTTCAAATTATCTGCAGCTCCTTTGCCTCCCAAAAAAATTGTTTTTGGGGTAGGTAAATTGAAAAGCTGCGTCAAAGAAGAGATCCTTGAACATCTGGAAACTATTGGACTGACCGCTGCAGAATGCGTACCAGTCTTTAAATTCTCTCCCACTCGTCCTCAACCTTCAACCAGTGATCCATCAACAAAATTCCGCATAACTATTTTTAAACATCAGGAAATGATTTTTACCAATCCTGAAAATTGGCCTATCGGCGTGGAAATTCACCCCTGGTTGTTTCATGCTCGACCACAGCATTTGATAAAACCCACTACAACTTCACTACCAAATCATTATCCTGTCGACCTACCAAATGTAAATACACCATTGCTGGTCAACTCACATCAGCATGTAGAAAACACAGTTGAGGTAGCTTCCATTTTAACTTCTTTAAGTCGAGCCAGTCACAATGGGCCCTTCTCAGCTGGTCAAACCACATAAACAACAACAAGCCTCATCGATGATGAGTCCTCCCTCTGATGTCAATTCTGCGACATCAATAAATCACGACAATGGCTGTTAACAATACTTATACCACAATCAATTCTATCCAACAACATCCTCAACCATCAAACAACGACGAAGATGATCAACACTTTAACGCATACAACACCCACATCGACCCCACAAAGAACCTCCTAGATTCATTCACCAGACAGTCATCCTACTACACCACAAGAGATCTACTCAACATTCTAGAAGCCAAGTACATCAACAATCATGATCACCCTCTACCTCTACTACACATAAACAGCAGAAGTCTTTTAAATAAAATTTCTGACATTTTAATTTTAAATAAATTTTTATCTTATTTTTTTCCCATTATTATTATTTCAGAGACATGGCTGAATGACGAAACCGCTAAACTAGTTCGTATGAATGATTACAATTTTGTTTTTAAAAATAGGTCTGACAGAATAGGTGGTGGAGTCGGAATCTTCATCAGATCAGGCATTGAATTTTCTATGATAAACAATTTGCTTCTGAACGGCACCATTATTGACCTTCTTGGTGTCAATTTAAAATTAAAAATTAAACAACACACACGTAAATATTTTAGCAGTATATAAACCCCCCAACACTGACCCTAATATCTTAATCCAAAAGCTCGAACTTATTTTACCCACATTCAAGCCTCACATAAAGAGCTATTTAATTGGCGATTTTAACCTTGACCTCAATAAACTCAACAGTGACAACGTCGTTGCTGACTTCTCTAACCTACTATCATCATACAACTTCTTACCTCTTATAACCTCCTCTACTCGCATCTCAACTTCTTCTTGCTCACTCATCGACAATATCTTTACTAACAATCTAACTTCTCACTTATCTGGAATAATTCTGTCTGACATATCTGACCATTTCCCTATATTCGCCATTGCTTCCAAATCAGAAATCTCAAACCATGCCCCTATAAAGCACTTCAGAAACCTAACTGAAGAATCTATAAACAACATCAACAATTTCTTATCGAACTACAACTGGAATTCTTTGACTTCTCTAAAAAATGTCAACGACTGCTGCTCTGTTTTGAATACTATCTTAACTCACTCTCTAGACACTTTTGCCCC